TGAATCCACGTGTCCTAAATCTGAAATAAAATGACTCAAAAACAAAATTGAAACAGACACCAGGCTGATAAGTAGCAATTGGGCCAGAAAGGGAATAAAGAAAGCCAGAAAGTAAACAAATCAAAGGGATGCCGGTGTTTTTGTGCCAGGGCTCGCAGGCCGCTGTCACGTGACCCGAGCGCTGGCGGAGGTGGGAGGGGAACAGAGACTTAGGCGGCGGCAAGTGTGGTGGGGAACAGAGACTTAGGCGCTGTTAAAAAGGCTCTGTCGATTTCAAACCCGCTGCTTGATTCTCTAGCAAGCAGCAGGGAAAATCGAGTCGCTCAGAATCTCAGCTGCTTCCACGTGGGCCCAGAGAAACCGCCGCAGTGGCCCGGGGTGCAAGAGACTCCGATTTTGGGCCGGTTCTCGGCAAAGGCCCACGGGGAGGGCGCCAATTGTATCTGCGCAAAATAAATGCAATGCAGATATCAAAGAATATTTACCACTTTAATGATAAACTTACAGAACCAAAGTTCCAGCGTAGTACAGGAGGTAGGGAGGAAAAAAGGGCCGAGCAGCCTCCCCGTGCACCCATTTATTGGGAGCATTCGCCCGAGGCAAACCCCGCCCCCTAAAGGGGCTGTCTTAACTCTACAGCTATTCAGTTCTTTATTAGGACAATCATGTGTTTCAGGCAGGCAAAATAACAAAGCTTCACAGAATTAAACAAATGCAACAAAAGAATGTAACCCATTTTTGCATTATTAAACAAATGTTCCACAGCATAAACAAATGTATCATGTCTTTAACTAATAGGTCCAAACAACATGGGTAATGGAAGGTTTTTATCTCCACAAGTTAACCATGTAAATCCACTTCAGGTAGTGGTCAAAGAAACTGTGAAAAGATTTTAAAACTGATAAAAATAATATGAAGTTCTCATAAGAACAATTACTGAAATTTCCTTGCAATTCAAGAGCCCATGTATAAATCATGTTATAGTTAAAAAAAAGCCATGTTGATATTTAGAAAAATGTCTCTATATCCACAGAGACAGGCAATAGAGATAATCTAGGAACACAAAGAACACCTATCATAGAAAAAAAATATTTCTTCCCTTTCCCAGTAAGATAGCACTGAACATCTCCCTATAGATAATTCATGTTCAGGCATCTGGGTAGTAGGAGAAATTTTACATGTATATATGTATATGCACATGTATACAATATATATGTATATGATGCAGATATATCTAAATCATTGATACATATGGATTTGCATTAGTATAGATTTACTTTAGTATGAAATTTTGATCCATTGATACAAATTTATCCATTGATAATTTTGCTACACTTAGCACTGTTTGTTGGCTCAAGCATATTTCTAGATAGTTCTTACATTTTAAATTATCCCATTTCTATTAGTCTATGTATTGCCATGTAGCTATGGTGTTACCTCATTCTCTGCTTATCTTGTTTCCTCAGCAGCTGACTGATGTCTCTTTGACTCTTCCTCTATCTCTCTATCTCTCTATCTCTGTTCAGATTTCCTGCCTGGCTTTCTGCTAAGTCATTGGTCAAAACAGCTTTATTCATCAACTAATAAAAGCAACACAAATATAGAAAGAGATCCCATATTATCTCCCCTTTTCTGTCTAATTAAAAAGGAAGGTTTTAACTTTAACATAGTAAAACTACATAGACAAAACAATTGTCAAGTAAGAATTATAATATTAATCCATTTATATTTGGCAAACTAAGGAAAATACTCTATTATCTATCCTATATTTTTAGTCTAAAGCTTTATATCTAATTTATCTTTTATCACAATAAAGGAAAACTTTATTTATGACTATCTAGTCTTGAACTCCATCAAAGACCCCAGGATATAATATTACCTAAGTAAACAGGACGTGCATTGGAAGCAACTTCCAAAACTCTAGAATTAACAGAGACATTTCTCTGCCTGAACAGTCACCCAAAGTTTTTCTATAATGTTAGGGCATTTATCTTCTATATCTGTCTATATCTGACAGACTTTTCCATGAATTAGAAAATTTGAAAATCTGTTCTGCACTGTATTGGCATAGTTCATCAGTTGCTTTCTCTGTGTCTTGCAGAATGTCTGGCCGTTTCTTCTGTAAAGAAAAAACCCTGAAGGACCATCCTGTCCTTTTGAAAGTTCAGCAGTCACTTTTCTGTGGGTCCTGCATGTTAAGTTCATACAATTTATAATCAAGCATTTCAGGCAAGAGCAGTTTCTTACCTAAATGTCTAGTCTTGTCACATTGAAGGCAAATTTTGTAATGGGTATCTTCAACGTACTTCAATCTCTCTGAAGCAATTGGTGCTGCAGAAGTACACATGTATCACTGTGAAGAAAAGTCTAGGTCCTTAAAACCTTTTAAATGACATATTCTGTTGGTCTTCGAAGTTTTGAAGGGTATCTATCTAACAAAATATGTCCCTCCCTATCTAGAAAACCTAACTAACATGACTAAAAGTTTGATTATTATAGATGACTATCTATTAATCTGTATTTTTTAATTGTACATTACATTTTTAGATGAACTGCATAAATGCAATAACTAAATAAATAAAGGATAGAAATATATGTATATATGTATATATATATATATATATATATATATATATATATATATATATATATAGTGTTGTTGTGAAAGGCCACTTGTTTATTACCAGCTGCACAGACTCCCAAAATAACCATATAGAAACTATAATATTTGAATCACTGCTTGGCCTATTAGCTCTAGCTACTTATTGGCTAGCTCTTACATCTTTATTTATTGGCAAAATTGAGGTTCATCTGTCCCCTGCAGCACCTACATGGCGTCTCCCTGACTCTGCCTTCTTTCTCCCAGCATTCAGTTTAGTTTTCCCCACCTACGCCTATTCTACCCTGCACAGGCCCAAGACAGTTTCTTTATTAATCAATGCTATTCACAGCATGCAGAGGAGAATCCCACATCACATCCCATTTTCTTTCTAAATAAAAAGGAAGATTTTAACTTTAACATAGTTAAATTACATATAACAAAACAGGTATCAAGAAAAAATTACAGTTATAATATCTACATCTACTTTATCTTTTATCATAACTAAAGAAAACTATAATTATAACTGTCTATTCTCCAATTCCATCAAAGACTCAAGAAGGATATAATATTACTTAAATAAATAGGATGTGCATTGTAAGCAACTTCCAATACTCTATAATTGACAGAGATATCCACTACCTGGATAGTCACCCAAAGTTCTTCTGTAATATTGGAGCATCTATCTTCAGCCTACCGGCCTATAGCATCTATCAGACTTTTCCATGAAGGAGGAAATTTCAAAGGCAGTTTTGCCTATATTGGCAATTTGTCATTCACTTTTTTCTGTGTCCTACAGAATGTCTGGCAGACTCTTTCATAAATCAGGAACCCTGAAGGACCATCTCAGATTTAAGCAAGTTCAGCAGTCATTTCTCTTTGGGTCCTGCATGTTCAGTTCATACAGCATAACTTCACACAATCTAGGCAAGAGTAGTTTCCTGCCCAAATGGCTAGTAAACTCCATGAAGAGCCTCTTTGATGCCCATTGTCCTCTTAAAGTAGATTGGTGCTGCTAGGAGCAGATGTATCTCACTGTCATGAAAAGTCCTAAGTTCTTAAAACATTTTGAATGCCATATTCTGTTAGTCTTTGAAAGGTTTGAAGAATATCTATGTAACTGAAATATATCTCTATATTTCTAGAAAACCTAACTGACATGACTATAAGCTTGACTATTATAGATGATTATCTATTAATCTATATTTCTTAATTATGCATTACATTTTCAAATGAGCTGCAAAAACACTATACTTTAATCAAGAGGAGATATATACATACAACAAAATTGACCTTAAATTTGTATCAATAAACCAAGATCCATGCTAATGCTAAGTATCCATCTCTACAGCATAGCTTCCTTTAAATGTAAACAAACACTTGTAAACAATATTTGGAATATGGGCATAGTTCTCTCCAAACTGCTTCCTTCTTTTTGTTGGGTAAAGTATTTTGGGGGTGCTCACAGAAACCTGTCAGGGGTCTTGGTCCATCAAACCACATTAGTCTGAAATTAATCCACAGGTTCTCATCTTCTGTGGAAACAAAAGCAGAAATTCTTTTCCAAAGCAACATATCCTCAGACCCATGTTTTGAACTCAAGATACCTTTAAAGTATATATGTTGGTTTATCTTAGCAGTCCCCAGAATCAAGTTTCTATAGTCAAAAAGTTCAAAGAACACAATTATATACATAATCCAGACTCTTTGTGTATAGTCTATATTTGTTTGACTTATTTTTCTTTATTCCTATTACTTTTTACAACTTTACTCTGTCTCTTTAAAGACTTTATTTTATTTTTAAAAAAAACCCTGTCTCAAAAAACTAAAAAGAAAAAATAAAAGTAAAAGAAACAGAAAAAAAAGCCATGTAAAGATGGAAAATACACAGAGTCTTGGTACTGTATGTTATTATGCTTGTGTTTTCTTTGAATGTTTTGACTACAGAGAGACATTTGGTTCTGGGGCTACTAAGCTAAACCAAGATATATATTTTAATAGTTTATTGATTTCAAAATTTGAGTCTAAGGATATGTTACTTTGGAAAAGACATTCTGTTTTTGCTTCCACAGAGGATGAACCTGTGGATTCCTTCTAGGATAAAGTGGTTTGATAGAACAAAACCCCCTGAAAGGTCTCTGTGAACTTTCCATGTACTTCACCCAACAAACAGCAGGACGCAGTTTGGAAACATTATGCCCAAATTCCCAAAATGATTGTTTGTAAATGTTTATTTTTATTTTAAAGTGGTTGGTTATAAATAGTTAATGGGTATAGCCAATTTCTAAAAATAAAACAGAACAGAAATGAGGGTATGATATATAGATACATTGTTTACATTACTATGGATTTATATTAGTATGGATTTTGGTCTATTGATACAAATTTAAGGTTGATTTTATTACTTTGTGATGTAGGATTCCCTTCTGTATGCTGTGGACACTATTGGTTAATAAAGAATCTGTCTTGGGCCTGCACAAGGCAGAATAGAAATAGGTGGGAAAAACTAAACTGAGTGCTGGGAGAAAGAAGGCAGAGTTAAGAAGACATCATGTCGTAGCTGCTGGGGACAAATGAGCCAGAACCTTACCAATAAGCCACAGCTATGTAGTGATAAACAGATTAATAGAAATGGGTTAAATTAAGATGTAAGAGCTAGCCAATAAGAAACTAGAGCTAATAGGTTGAGCAGTGATTTAATTAATATAGTTTCTGTGTGGCTATTTTGGGAGTCTGAGCAGCTGGGAATGAACAAGTGACCTCTAACAACAAATTGGTGCTCTAGTATGTGCCAGCTAAATCCACATAAAACCTGAGAGAGTTTGGAAAGGAATTCTACACACTTAAAAAATGAAGTTTAACTGCATTTTTTTTAAGATGACCTTTGCTTGCTGGCAGCCTGCTGCAGCTCCTTTAAGAGATGTCTTCCTAATTCAGTGGTAGCAAAAACAAAACAAACAAACAAAAAATACCATGTTTTCTGGGGTTGGAACTTGCCCCCCTTGTTCAAATGTATTTCTACTAGTTTTCTATTGTTGATGTTCTCCTTCACTGATTAAATTTTTCTTTAATTGTTTTCTACAGTTTGAAACTTGGCTACATTAGGTCCTGCCTATTGGTTTTGACTCCATTAAATCTATTTAGCATCAGACTTTTCTTTGAATTTTTTTTTACTTTCTTGATTACAAAACTTAACTTTCTTATAATCCATAGTGCTCCTTTTCTCCTCAAACTCTACATTTGTACTTTTTCTTTTTCAGCTTCCTCCTTTTCATTACAGATCTGCATAAGAGTGATTACCACAAACCATATAACAGAGTCAACAGTAGGGTCTCTTGAAATCTCCTCTGCCAATGCCAGGATTCTTAAACTCTTCAATTTAGCTTATGTCAAATTTTCAGGAAAAGAGAAAAAGAGCAGCCAGATTCTTTGCCAAAATATCACAAGAACAACTATTAGGTCACTTCCTAATATTCTTCTACTCTAAAACTTCATAATCCAGACCATCATACTATACATTGCTCTAAGCCCTACTGCTTTTCAGCTACTTTGTCTCATTAAACCATGCTTGAAACATCCAAATGTTTCTCTAGTCCAAATCCCCAAGTCTATATTATGTCCACAAGCAGGATAGTTAGGCCTGTTATAGTAATATCCTGGTTTCTGGTACCTACTTCTGACTTAATCACTGTTCTATTGTTATGAATGATACCATGACCTAGGCCATTCTTATTAAAAAAAATTAGCATGTAAACCGACATGGTAGCTGAGAGCTCTAGATCCAGATCCACAGGCAGCGGGAAGAGACAGACACTGAACCTGGCTTGAACTTTTAATAGCTCAAATAGCACCTTCATTGACACACTTTCTAAATGAGGGCCACATTTATTCTTAGAAAGCCACCCTTCCTAATTCCTCTCAAGTAGTCTGACTCCCTGAGGACCAGACATTCAAATATATGAGCCTATGGAGGCCAATCTTATTTGAACTCCCACATTCTTATCCTAGTTCATCACCTTATGGATTTATCTGTTGATAACTTTAATAATAATGCATGGTCACTTAGCATCTATTTATTTCTTTCTGCTTCTTAATATATTGGTAGGATTTATCCAAAATTTTAGAGAAACTATAGTTTATTAAATCTCATTTTTGAATGAGTTTCTTTGTGCAGTACTATAATTTATTTATGCAATCTACTCTATTTAACATAATATTTTATCAATTATCTGGTAAGTTTATATAATATATTTTGATCATATTTATCCCTCACTGCTCAAACTCCTCTCAGTTCCACCTTTACTTCCCCACTCCAACTCCATATCCTCCTGAGGCCAATGTGTCCTGCTCCCATACCTATAAGTGTGGGATCATCCACTGTGATGTGGTACAAAATCCATTCTTAATTTGATTTTGGTTTTGATCATAACGAATAATGTTTCTATGAATATCGTTATGTTTTTGGAGAACACATGTATGCACTTCTATGATATTTAAATTATAAGTAAACATTTCTTATAGAGAATGCTGATGTTCAGTGATTAGATAACTCCAAGAATTTCTACTAAGTAAACACCAGAATTTTCATTTGTTTCAGCACTGTGTGTGAGATGTATTGTTTCTGTACATTCTCAAAGTTGACATTGTTTGCCTTTCATTGTAAATATCTGGTGCATATGTAGTACTCAGTTTAACCTGCATTTTCTTGATGATGAATTTTCTTAAGTAAGTACATGAGCAATCCAGACAGGTGTGGAATAATGATTACTTTATGATACATGTGTAGACATATACATTAGTAATATGATACAGGCTTGATCATATATGTGTGTGTGTGTATGTGTCATTTACACACAAATATGTCTGATAAGTATATATATGTATATATTGCTACTTTATAATTCTTAATTTTTATCATTAATAAGTATGTATTAGGTAATATGTGCCAGAAACCAATTCAGAAACTAAATATTCAATGTTGAAGAACATACGCAGTTCTTTTTCTTATCATTGTCTTGGTGTCTGTCTCTTGTCACTTGTCTCTGTGTCTGTCTGTCTCTGCCTTTCTCTCTCCTACTTCTGAGGATCCAATGCAGGACCCTGAATGTGCCAGGAAAGCATTAACACTGATAATATACATACAATCTCCAGAACTTTCCCTTTTTACTGAGACATAGTCTCAACTATGTATCATAGGTTCGTTTTGAATGCACAATCCTCCTTCCTCCATCAGGAATATGTTGTCACACATGCCTCATTTTTTTTATTGAGCAGAAGAGGCAATGAAAATGGTAATCATAAGACAGGGAGATGAAGTTCCTGCGAGTTTCTTCCTCCTCTCTGCAGCTGGCCTCCAGCCTCTAGCCACTTCCCTCGTGTCATGGCCCCGAAACGGCAATCTGCGCTTCTGCCTCAGTCCAAGAAACCCAAATCGGCTCTGTCCCCGAAACTGGAGGACAAGTCTGCCTCTCCCGGCCTGCCGAAGGGAGAAAAAGAACAGCAAGAAGCAATTGAACACATTGACGAAGTACAAAATGAAATAGACAGACTTAATGAACAAGCAAGAGAGGAAATACTAAAAGTAGAACAAAAATATAATAAACTCCGCCAACCGTTTTTTCAGAAGAGGTCAGAATTGATCGCTAAAATCCCAAATTTTTGGGTAACCACATTTGTCAACCATCCACAAGTGTCTGCACTGCTTGGGGAGGAAGACGAAGAGGCTCTGCATTATTTAACCAGAGTTGAAGTAACAGAATTTGAAGACATTAAATCAGGTTACAGAATAGATTTTTATTTTGATGAAAATCCCTACTTCGAAAATAAAGTTCTCTCCAAAGAATTTTATCTGAATGAGAGTGGTGACCCATCCTCAAAGTCCACTGAAATCAAATGGAAATCTGGAAAGGATTTGACAAAACGCTCGAGTCAAACACAGAATAAGGCCAGCAGGAAGAGACAACACGAAGAGCCAGAGAGCTTCTTTACCTGGTTTACTGACCACTCTGATGCAGGTGCAGATGAGTTAGGAGAAGTCATCAAAGATGACATTTGTTTAATAAAAAGAAAAAAAGGGGGGATTAGAAGGTCAGCAATGGTGTGTTTGAGGTGTCTGGGGGGGTAAGTGGGCATTGTGACAACATGGCTTCTCCTTTGGCATGTTTAATTGTGATGTTTAACAGACATCCTTGCAGTTTAAGATGACACTTTTAAAATAAAATTCTCTCCTAACGATGACTCGAGCCCTACCACTCAATGGGAGAATCAGCAGAACCTGTAGGGGTTTATTTGGAGTTCACATTCTCTGTTGTAACTTTATTTTTAATTTTTTTTTATTTTTAGTTTTTTGGTTTTCACTGGAAGGAAAAGATGCTCATTTTAAATGTTGAAGTGTACAAGTTGCTTTGTTACAATAAAACCAATGTGTACACAAAGGACCGGATGCTTTTCTATCAGAACAGATGTTCAACATGACCTTCCGAGTTTGACCTGCATAATGACATCATGTCAAACTTTGTCTCCCTAACTTCATATTTTTTGATACGCACTTTGCAGGATGACCTCAGGGCTATGCAGATTGAGTTAAAGGGATGTGAATCATGTCTTAATGTCTCCGTAACTGGGTGATGTGGGTACAGTTTGCTGCAATGGACTTGTACCCATGATTTTTATCTCAATTTGGCATTTTTTAAAAACGGGCCTTTAGTTACCTGGATATATGGCAGCACCTGCTCCCACCATGTCACAGACCTGTTGCTCTAATGCCATCTGTACGAAGGACAGCTGCTGGCGGGTCTTCATTGGCAATTTGAACTGACCAAGGAAATGGGCTTTCAGAGTCAGCAGTCTTTGGGGTGGTTGGGAGTGCACTGTCCCAGGTATGTAGCAAAGCTCTCAGACTCTGTGAATCTGGGTGGATAAAGAAGTTTTATCTGCTCAACGCCATTGTGCAGAGAATAATGTTTTGGAAAGCTACCTGATACATAAGCTTTTTAATGCTGTAAAATAGAGCTAAAATTAAATGCCACTTTTTTAGAGATGATTAATGGACAGCCTGGTCAAATTCAAAGCTTTTTGATGTATAAAACTTTATAAATGGAACTACTCCATCAGTAGGCAAAGTGTAACCAAATCTGTCTAGATGGATAGTGTGTAATTTCTGCACAGGACTCTTGTTTAGTAAATACATCACTGTATACGTCAGGAATCTTGCTCCAATAAAGGAACATAAAGATTTAAAAAAAAAGGCAGGGAGATGAGAGCTGTTTGAATAGTCTGCAGAAGGATGGAAGAATATATCTTTTAACAATGAACCTCAAATTTCAGAGTCTTCACTGAGGATAAAGCATAACAATTATGAGAGAGCTGTCCTAGGGAGAAATGTGACCATCTTCTGCAACTTGACAAGTCTGGCAAATGTTGAGCAAGTCACCTGGCAGAAAGTTCAAGGTCCATTGCTTCAAAATATCAGCACTTACAGCCATAAACATGGAGAAAATATTATCCCACCATATGTGAACAGGCTGCACTGCAAGATCCTGGAACCCAATGCCTCCTTCATAACCATCCAAAAAGTGACATTTGAAGATGAAGCCTGCTACAGGTGTCTGTTTAACACCTTTCCATATGGCAGCCATGGAGGACAAACCTGCCTTACTGTCCTAAGTATATAACCCTTTCTCTAGGGTCCCATAATGGGGGCAGACATTGTGGAGTTACAGTTATTAAGGACATTGTCCAGAGAAAGCTTCATTAAGAAAAATTGTTGATGAGTCCAAGTTACTTAAACAGGAGAAAAATGATGGAGGCCAGTGGAGTTTGTGTGTTCTGGCAGGAGCTATTACCTAGTGTTTCTTCCTTACATTATACTTCACAGGCTTCCATTAGGTGGAGAAAACCCAGGAAGAGCATCAGAAGTTTGTTACAAAGGCAAAGAGAAGATATAAGAAAAAAAGGAGACAGTAGGGAATAACAAGGAAAGGTGAAGTCTAAAGGAAATAAGATTTCCACAGTCTTCAAATAAGTAATATGTCCCAGGTAGAGTGAGAACATCGGAGTTCCTTATCATGCATACGAGTGTAAAATACTGGGAGTATACAATATAATTTATAGCTTTATAGAAGTTGAGACAGCAGTCAGAGGACAGAGCAAAAGGTTTCAGGAGTTTTACAGCATGTAAGGGGAGGTATACAAGAGGGTTATGTCTTAACATTCATGTGTCATAAAAAATTGGGAAAACACCATCCTTTAACAGCAGATAATTTGGTAATGACACACCTTTGTATTAATATTTGTTTCCCTCCCTTTGCCTCAGCTGTATCTGAATTAGCAACTGAACTCCATCCTGTTCCTGGCTCTGAAGATCTCCTCAGCCTTCACTGTTCAGCGGTGGGAAAGCCTGCTCCTGGAATCTCCATTTACCCTTCACAAGTCCTAGTGTCCATGCGGGAAGAGCACTTTACTGAGAACCCAAATAGCACAGTGACCGTCACTAAAATATACAACATGTCTTTGAAAACTGTTAGGTCCTTGGGCCTGCAGCACCTGGTTGTGTCCATGACTCACCCGCTAGAATATAAAGAGAAGATAGTTCCTCTGCCAGTAAAGCAAGAGGGTAAGTAGAAGTGACAGCAAATCAAAGGGGACAACTGAAGCTAAGCACCCACATAAAAAGCCATATTGGGGTATTTGTGCCTGTGATCACAAAGCCAGGGATTCAGGAAGGACAAACATCTGGTGTTTGTTGGCCAGGGACTCCAGGGACTGACACAAGTTAAACAGTGCTACTTATTGATCTCTGCCTTCAAAAGCACATACGTTTACAAACACGCACACATACACACCTGATGGAGGAAGGTCATTGGTTAATTATAATAAAGAAACTGCTTGGCTGGCCCTCATAGGTTAAAACATAGGTAGGTGGAGTAAACAGAACAGAATGCTGGGAGAAAGAAGCTGAGTCAGGGAGTCGCCATGATTCTCCTACTACAGGCAGACGCAGGTTAAGATCATTACTGGTAAGCCAGCTTGTGGGCTACACAGATTATTAGAAATGGGCTAGTCCAGGTGCGAGAGTTAGCCGAGAAAAGGCTAGATATAATGGGCCAAGCGGTGTTTAAAAGAATACAGTTTCTGTGTAATTATTTCGGGTAAAGCTAGCCGTGTGGGCGGCTGGGTGCCGGGGACGCAGCCTGCCACTCCTACTACTACACACACCGTCTCATGTACGGACACATATGTATACAAGTACAGACATGCACATATGTATAAGGACATGAAGAAGTAGAGATATTAGATTTTTTAAAAAAAAATCTGTAATAAGAAATATTTGTATAAATCAGCTATTTTTGATGAAGTAAACCAATATTATATACATGTCTGATCAAGCAATCAAACAATGAAGCCAAGTGCAATGCTCCAAGTCTTTAATCTCAGGCATTGGGAAGCAGAGGCAGACTGATCTCTGTGCATTAGGGACCAGCCTAGTCTATACAGTGAGGTATCGGACAACCAGAGCTATATAGTTCAACCCTGTCTTGAGAGAACAAACAGCAACAACAAATCAAACAATGCTGACCATCTCCACCCTAACTTTCCCGCTGGGATGGAATCTCTTACAGATTCCCTTTCCCTTACTTCTTAAATTTTGTCATTTAAGGTTTTTTGTTGAATTTCTCTCCTACACAAAGAATTCGCTTTTTTTCTTTAGTTGAGGCTTGTAGATAGACATTGTAATATTTTTGTCATGTACTATGTTCATGTTTTAAGCAACATTTCCATAGCACTTTAATTCATGTTAGGTAGTTTTGTTCTTTTCACCAATTTTGTGACAGTCATTGACTTTTCCTCATTTTTAATTAGCAAATAATATGCTAGATAGCATTACAATATTTTCAAACATTTCAATAATTCAAAAGTAAATTTTTGTGGTTTCCCTTCTTCCCATTTTCTCCATAGCCCAGCTACCCATTACTCCTGCCTTAGAACTTCCTTGTTCCCTGTTAATTTTCCTCTTCCATTACTCAATTGTCCCTGTGTTGACACCCCTGATCCTACCTCATAACCTGATACAATCACTCTCTCTCTCAGTCACCTTTCCAGGGTTTGTCAAACTTTCCTCACCCTTAGTCTTATTTACACACACACACACACACACACACACACACACACACACACACACACCTTCACACACACACTGGCTATAATCTACATTTGTACACATTGAGGAAGAACATGTACATTTTGTCATTCTAAATTTGTTTTCTTTTTGCTTAATGTTCTTGCTTTCCAGAACTATCTTTTTCTTAAAGCAAATTTCATGATTCTGTTTATATTTGTAACTGGATAATATTACATTGTGTGCATATATACTACATTTTAATTAGTCACTCATCTGTGGATGGACATCTAAGTTATTATGAATGTAACTGCAATAAGCAAGGATATTCAAGTACATCTATGGTGGAACCTGGAATCTTTTGGGTATTTTCCCAAGAAGTATATAGCTGAATAATTTGGTAATTCTCTTTATAAATTTTTGGGGTGCTTCCAAGCCAATGTCCACAGTAACTGTATCAATTTTCACCCCCCACAGCAGTGAGTGAGCATTCTTCTTTTTCCCATATCCTCTTGAACATCTGTGGTGCTTTTTCTTCTTAATAGTCCTTTAACTGGGGTGAAGTGGTATCTCAGTTTTAATTTGCATTTCCCTGATGTCTACAGACATTGAGTATTTTGAAAATTAGTTACTGGAGGGCTAAAAAGATGACTTAGTGGCTAAGATAACTGGCTGCTCTTCCAGAGTATGGAATTGGATTTCTATCACCTATAGGGCAGCTAAGAACTCCCTGCAGTTCCAATTCTACAAGATCTGTTGCCATCTTTTGGGCTTTTAGACAACCATGCATATAAAGTGTCCAGTGGTGAGAGTGGAGTGTTGAAGTCTCCCACTATTAGTATGTGGGATTTAATGTATGATTTAAGCTTTAGAAGTGTTTCTTTTACATATGAGGGTGCCCTTATATTTGGGGCATATATGTTTAGTATTGAGATTTCCTCTTGATGGATTCTTCCTGTGACTAATATAAAATGTCTTTCTTTGTCACTTTTGATTGAATGTAGCTTGAAGTCTATATTGTTAGAGATTAGGATAGCCACACCAGCCTGTTTCTTCAGTCCAATTGATTGGAAAATATTTTTTCCAACCCTTTTCTCTGTGGTGATGTCTGTCTTTTTGAATTTTTCACTGAAAAGACCCATAGTCCTTTTTCCCTTGACACTTTATTTTCATTAAGATGGAATTTACTCCACTACAATGTATTGTTTAAAGGTTGTTGATGTCTTCTTAGTACTTTGCAAAAATCACTGTCTAGTTACAGAACATTTCCACCGCTCCCTGAAGAACCAAATACCACCAATATTGGGAAAATTTTCAAGGACTGAAGTGAGTGGTTTTCCTATGGCCTGGTCATCACTGGCTTATTTTCTACGGTGCTGGATTTATCTATTGTGGTTACTTCATACACATGCAATAATATACATGTTGCTATTTGGCTGTAGCTTCTTTCATATAGCAGAGCTTTCAAGGGTCATCCGTGTGTTAACACATATTGACTCTTCAGTTTTTATATGAGTAAGAAGTATTACATAGTTTAGATATACCACACTTAATTTATCTGTGATTCAGTTCATTTATATTTGGATTATTCACATTCACATTTTTGTGAACAAATCCTCTTGACCATTTGTGTACAAGGTTTTACATAAGCTTATATTTCAGTTCCCTAGGAATAATAACCCAGAACTGAATTTGAAGTTATATAATAGATTAAATGTTCCATGTTTTCAAGTGCTATCAGTGGTCAAACTATTCTAAGTTACCAGAAGTCATGTAAGTATGTTCTTATCTGGATCTTGTTATTCTATTTTCAAAAATGATCATACTAACCGTAGTAGTGGGTATGAATTATTGGTATCTCACTGTGGTATTCCATACTTTTTAATCATAACTATTAGATACCCATTCCCTACCTCAAGGGATCTAGGAAACTAAAGTATGTCTCACATGTATATTTCATATGAGTGGAATTATTGATAAGGTCTTCGCAGTGAATGGTCTGATAATTTCTTCCTCCAAAAGACATTTATTTTGGCTGCGCTTAGTGTTTATGGCAGACACAGTTTGCTTAATCCACTAAAATAAAATAGGAGAGAGCTGGGACTATTGCTCAGTGTTCGAGTGCTAGCTTGCCATGGACAAGGCTCTGAGTGTGATCTCTAGCACTGGAAAAAGTAGAAAGGACATAAACACTATAAAATGTGCCCTAGTCTTAGAAAAGTCATGGCTCTTTCTGTCCTACCTCTTGTCTCCTGGAGTCTAACTATGGAGATTCAAGCCTGAGGTAGATACTAAGGTCTTTGCCCTTGCAAATATTTACCTCAGATTTATTACTGCGCTTGATTGCTGTAATCTACTCAGCTTTCAAACTTAGTTTTAAGTCTTGTTTAGTAAAACGTGTTTTTAAATGTCAAGCTTGTCATGTGGATTCTTTCTCTTACTATATCTGGACCTTATGAACTCTTTGAGAAATCTTTGATATTTTAATAAGACTTTTAAAACTAATTTCTTCAGATTTTCTTAACAACCACAAAGGGAAACTTGGGCTGAAATTAATTAAGTCTCTTGGAATTAAAGTAACTTTTCTTATACTGTTTTACATCAAGCACTTTCCATAGTCTTGTTACCATGTTCATCGTTAATGCGCTTTGAGCCTCCATTTCCAGCAGTATAAGACTGTCATTTTGAATCTTCATCAGACCCTTACACATTAAGTGGAAGTGGTAGAGGAGCGGCTTACCTATTGTCAAGAACCGGCCTCAACAAAAATACTTCTTACCAGGTTTGGGGCTTGGGAGTTGAAGAAATATAAGTAAAGAATATGAAGACACATAAAAATAATAAGACAAGAAAACATAGAATGTATTAGGAGGGACTTCCAGTGACTGAAATCCTGAAGTTCACCCCCAATCAATTTTCCACAATTATATATCCAACATAAATGGGGGGTGGAAGAAGGTAACTAAAGACTTTATTAACATGACACACAGTTGATGGTTTTATCACTCTGAGACACAAAATCATTAGCATTCTGTTATTTAGGTAGCTAAGGTGCCCTGGGACTCTTACACTGAAGACTACCCTTCCCTAGGTGACCTCATAGTTACAGCAGAAGGAGCAGAAGTACATTTGCATATCCTGACCACCTGTCAGGATGGCATGGAGCTGTCAGGCAACCACCTCCTGAGTTAGGAGGTATAATTATGCCTGTCAGTCTCCAAACTCTCTGTTTGACAGAGTGGAAATGGGCTGGCATTTTTCAGCCTCCATTACCTACTAAGTACTTTCAATCGCCCTTTTGACAAGTGGTAGAAATATTATTCCCAGTCTAATATTTGGAATTATTTTCATAAGCCCTTTATATTAGGGTAAACATAATATGGATGTTCATATGGCAACTGTGTTAGCTACAGTTTTATTACTGTGAAGAGACACTATGACCACTGTAACTCTTTATTTAAGTATTATTTAAAAGTTTTTTTAAAAAATGTACCAATCACAGCCA